ATCATTGTTTGCCACTGAGTAGAGCCTGGCTCCATCCTCATGACACTCCCCCTTTATAGATTTATATACACTAGTAAGGTCACCCCTCAGTCTCCTCTTCTCCAAACACCCTTAAAACAAAATCAGTAATTCAGTCCTGATGGCTCTTTGTAAAAAAACTATTTCTACTTTTCAAGTGTTAAAATTAACACAACTCAAAATACCTTCAAGTAGCAGCAACAATAAATTATTCCCTTCTCCCAAGTTGGTTATACAATCTTCTCTAGAAATTTTGTTACGGTAACCAAAATGGAGCACTAGCCTGAAGCAGTTCCTGTTGGGAAGAGCAGAGAGGGTAAATATCTGCATCCATTACTGAAACTGACTCAGTTTCAAACTGCTACAGTAGACTTACCCTCAATATCTGCTTACCCTCAATATTTGAATACAAATATTAAGATAACTGAACCACTAGTCTAGTACTTTAGACAAGGAAACCATTTTTGTAAGCTTCTAGGTATTCCATCATAACTGCAGACTAACATGCAATTTTGACGTTGCAGTCTGTTTTCATTAAATAGAAACAAGAATAGGAAATTCCAGTCATCCAGGAATTCTAAAAGTCATCACGGACTGGCCAGAGGGCAAAGATTTTGGAATGTCACCAGAGGAGGAAGTGATGCGTGAAGAGGCCCCACCACATAATAAACTGTCAGAAAGTGAAAAGCAGTATGTATTGTTTACTGATGGGTCCTGCCATATTGTGGGAAAGCATCATAGATGGAAGACAACTGTATGGAGTCCCTGCCGACAAGTTGGAGAACCTGCTGAAGGAGAGGGTGGATCAAGTAAGTTTGCCAAGGTGAAAGCCATCCAGCTGGCCTTGGACATTACCAAACGAGAAAACTGACCAGTACTTTATACTGACTCACGAATGATGGCAAATGTCCTGTGGTGGTGGTTGCAGCAATGGAAGCAGAGCAACTGACAATGCAGAGGTAAATTCATCTGGGCTGCTGCACTGTGGCAAGAGATTGCCACTTGGGTAGAGCTGGGTATCAGTTGGCAGGTGGTGAGCGGTTGTATTCTCTTCCCTTGTTATTTCCCTTATTATTATTGGTGGTAGCAGCAGTATCTTGTGTTATACCTTAGTTACTGGACTGTTCTTATCTCAACCTGTGGGAGTTACATTCTTTCGATTCTCCTCCCCATCCCTCCAGGGGAGAAAGGTGGGGGGGAGTGAGCAAGCGGCTGTGTGGTTCTGGGTTGCTGGCTGGGCTTAAATCACAACAGTTCTTTGTGTTGTCATTAAACAGAAACAAGAAGAGTTCAAATGACCAGCTTATAACACAACTTCCTGCATATTATTTAAACTTTTCTATTTTTTTTCTCCCTGCAAGAGGAAAAAAAAGTCAACATTCCAGGATTGCAGAACTAGTAATTTGGTCCAGTAAATGAAAAACAAATTCCACATTTCCACTCATCCTGATGCACTGAAACAACTATTCAAACAACACAGGAGGCCTAAGAAGCAGAAACATATATATATATTCTACTCAGCAAGATTACTGAGTCTCAAGTTTTCTTGTCCTTATCTTCTGATTCAGAAGCAAGATGTCGAAAAGTTATTGACCCTGCTGCCCTGGTCAGCATTCAAGCCTAAAAACAAGAGTAGAACACGGTGAAATAACTAATACCTCAAAGGCTGGGTTAAGTCCAAAGAATAGAAAGGGAAGGAAGAAGACTGAGTGTTTACCTTGTGAATTGTTTACGATTTTGAAGCAGGCTTCTTCAGTTAAAACCAGCAGTAAGTTCCTGCCAAAACTGAGAAACCAATTAATTGTAATTGCAAGTAAGCAATTTCCCATGGCTACTGCAAGAGTTTTGTGCAGGATTCAAGTTTCCACTTGAATCATTCAAGTTTCCACTATATTTTTAAAAATTACTTACTTCCAGTTAACTAAATAAATTAACATAACCCTGTCTCATTCAGCCTGCAACAGAGAGACTACTGCTGCTATTGATCAGCGGTTCAGTGAACTCTGACCATTCTAGTAGTTTTCTAACTGCAGCCCAAGTGGACCACAGTTGTCTGAACAGAAGCAAATGCCCTAGATTTACTGTATGCAATAACTGCTTTCCACTTGGATAATTACAGAAGATCTAGAAGTTCTCTGTTTTGTTTTTTTTTTTTTTAACAGCAGAGAGCAACTGTATTAGCTAAACCTTTCGACTGATTATCTTTGTGTTCATGGTAAACGAAATAGTAACACCTTTTTGACACTACCAGGGTTTTTCCTGTCCTCCAAGTTTCACAACCTGGAGCAAAAAGGCATTTTGTCCCTGCTGTCTTTTCTACCCTGTATGCTTTGGGGAATATATGGGACAAGACATCTTCATCCATTCCTCTTATCGCATCTTACTGAAACAAAAACAAATTGCAAAAACTTCCACAAGAAATTTCATAGATTATGATAAAAAAGAAAAATCAAGTTAATAGATGTTGAGAAGGGAACTTCTTGAATACAGAAAGTTACATTCCCACTAAAAAAACGCACACTGGTTTAATCAGAAACAGGTATCTGTTCCAGTGACAGCATAAGTCTCACCAGTTGGCATTTTGCAGCAAGTTCTAAAACCAGAGCAGAGCGACATAGATGTCCATGTATGTTTAAAAAGGGTATCTACTTTGCAGTTCTCTACTTTGACAGAAGCCTTAGCTGCTAATGATAACATTACCACTTGGTCTACACAAGTTAAGGGAATTAGTTAGGAACTTGATGTTGGATTTTGCCTGTCTTGAGGTGGCACTTGAAGTATGCTGAAAAGCTTATATAAGCAGCCCTACACTTACTTTGGCTTAAGCCAACAAAAAGGTGCTTAACAAGCATATTTCTCAGGTTTTGTTAGTGGTAAAATAGTATCCATCTTATCCACCGTCATCAACTGTAATCTGAAGTCCTTTGTCAAAAGGATACAATTCCAGAAACAACTGTTAAATAGACTGAACTACTGAGCCATCTGTGCTTCAACTGTTGTATCAGCATTTTTAGAGACAAACCTGACATATGAGTTGCTCTGTAGAACAGTAATGAACATACCATTTCCTAGCTACAGCTTCTGGAAACACGTGCTACAATCCCAGCTTCAGAGATGTGTCAAATATGTGCACTATTGAAAACAGTTGCTCCCCTCCCTAAATCCTTAACCTAAGTAAGTCCTGAATGAGAAATAGTGGAAACCACTCATTATTTCACAGAATCACAGAACAGTTAGGGTTAGAAAGGACCTTAAGATCATCGAGTTCCAACCTCCCTGCCATGGGCAGGGACACCTCACACTAAACCATATCACCCAAGGCTCTGTCCAACCTGGCCTTGGAACACCACCAGGGATGGAGCATTCACAACTTCCTTGGGTAACCCACTCCAGTGCCTCACCACTCTTACAGTAAAGAACTTCTTCCTCATATCCAATCTAAATTTCCCCTGTTTAAGTTTGAACCCGTTACCCCTTGTTACCACTACTGTCCCTAACGAAGAGTCCCTCCTTGCATTAGTTAAGTGATGAAACAGGAATTAAGAGACCAGTTTTGTAGGTTCTCTTACCTTTTAAAAATTCCTATTTAAAAGTTTTGACCAAAAGCGCTGTCTCTTAGTTAGGTAACAGCTCAGATTAACAGCAACAACTAGTTCTGACAGAATAAGGTGTTGCAGACATAGGCATTATTACTTCTACCAAGAGACTCTCTGTCCAGAGTACTGCTTTAACTGATTATGTTAGTGCATTAAATATTCCAGATCATGAACTGAAATAGCCAATGATCAGACACACTTTCTAAGCTACCTTTGCTTAGAAGTATTGTTAGGATTTGTAATTAAAGGAAAAAATGTTTTTACAGCACCAGGGTTTGCCTATCAGGCATGATACAGGGGACACTACCAGAAGCAAAACCAGTTAACCACTAATTCTTAAGGAATCACAGCCAGATCTAATGCCTTTATACCTTAATTTGACATGAACCTAGTATTCACTCCAGACAGCTATGCTGAATACTGTATCCACTGAACACAGAGCAGCGTCCATCTTCACAGGCAGCACTGAGCTAGCCTAAAGGCTTTTTCCTCCAGAAGTTATTGGCCAGACTCCATGTTTTAATACTGCTGCATTTTGATCCAATTTGGATTATATACTCTAAAAGCATACTAAGCAGAAAATATTCCAGCCTACATGGGTGCTAAATGATTGCTGAACAGATATCAACCATATTTAAATCAGAAATCAGGTGACATCTCAGTAATTCAGTTCTATACCATCAGCAGACTGACAACAGATGACACTAAAAAGTAAAATCTTCCTGTTCATGTAGCTTCACACAAACTCAAGCTTAACATGTTGGATCATCTAGTCATGGAATTCTGAAAGCAAGTTTGGACAGATAAAAATGCCCTGTAACATGCTTCACATCACTGGTGCCACTAAGTTTGTATTAGAGTAAAATATTAAGTCCAAGGATAAAGCAATCTAAAGGTTTAGTAATAGGATTCAGGCTATTTCCATCATTAGATCATTGCTCCAAAAGATAACCAGCTGAGCAAAGAATAAAAACCATTACCATCCAATCTGCACTTAGTTACCAGCTCTGAGTTAAAGCATTTTCAATTACTGCAAGAGCTCCAACACCAACATTTGTATTAAAATTCTCAGGACACGTTGTCCAAAGAATGAGCAGGAAGTGACTGTTTTCCTTCTGGAGCAGTAAGCACCAGCTATTGCGTTTCAGTCCAATAGATGCCAGCTTGATAGTTTTACTTCTACACAGGATCTAAAGACCTGTGATAATAGAAAACACCCCTCACAATAATAAATAGTAATTCTCAAAGTTAAGGTTGTACTCTGTCATGAAGACAGGAGGGGATAAACAGGAAGATGAGTACATCTTCCAAAAAAAATACTGCTCTAGTTAAAAACAAACAAACAACAAAACCCAAACAACCACCACCACCAAAAAACACAAAAAAAAAACCACTGAAATTTAAATAAGTGAGGCTCAACATCATAAGCATAACTGACTTCTCTACAATGTGAACATGGGATATTGTCCTAGGCAAGATCAAGTTAAGTGTTCTGTCAAACCCAAAGCAGTGAAGCTTAACTTCTAAATAAGTTTTCATATAAGATTAATAGGCATTATTTTCCAGTGCACATTGAGTTTACATCACCTTCATACAGCAATGCATAAAAAGAAGTACCAAAATCAGTATGAGTTTGTCATGGGTTCAGCAGTAGCAGTCATTTTTCCCCTTCTTGGTAGCTGGTGCAGTGCAATGTTTTGACTTTCAGCTCGGGAACAGAGCTGATAACAAGCGATGTTTTGGTTTGGCCAAGGACTTTGTGAGCCTCATGCTCTGCCAGGGAGGAGGGGAAGCCAGGAGGAAGCAGAGACAGGACACCTGACCCAAACTAGCCAAAGAGGTATTCCATACCACAGCACGTCATGCCCAGGAGGTAACTGGGAGCCGGAAGGGCTGAGAGACGGCAGGGTTGGAGGAGGTATCGGTCAGAGCTTGGTCGGGCTGGGGGTGCGAGTTATCGGTTGGCTGGTGGTGAGATGATGTATTCTCTTCCCTTGTTATTTCCTTTATCATTTATCATTGGTGGTAGCAGTAGTGATTTGTGTTATACCTTAGTTACTAAACTGTTCTTATCTCAACCCGTGGGAGTTGCATTCTTTTCAAAGAGCAGGGGGAGGGCAAGAAAAGGGGGGGGAAGTGAGTGAACGAGTTACCTGACTGGGTTTAAACCACGACAGTTCTTTTTGGCGCCCAACGTGGGGCACGAAGGGTTGAGATAACGACAGATTTGACTGGATTAATAGTCACTCGTCACAATGCTGATTTATTGGCTCTCAGAGTTGTTTCGCTTGATCTCGCAGCTTCAGAATGTTGTAACTTACGTAGAGCCGGTATTTGCTGTGATAGTGTTTATCAAGTATGGGGCCTGGGCTAAGGTTCTTGTCTCACTGTGCTTTATGGGAATGGCTTGTAATACGGGCGGGCTCCAGCAGCAGGGCGGGACGGACGTGGCCTTGGACTTGTACCTGGCCGTCCGGCTGCTCTTCACCGTCCTGGCCCTCACCCTACTCTCCATCTTCGTGAGGCTGCGGGGAGCCGAGGGGGAGCGGCCCCGGGAGCCGGCGGCAGCCGAACCGGCCCGGGAGAGCGGCCCCGGGGAGCAAGCGGCGGCGGGAGCGGGGCCGGAGGCCGCGAGGGGACGGCTGCCGGTGGAGGAGGTCGGGGCGGTCGAGGAACAGAAGGAAGGGGCTGCCGAGCAGCGGGAGAACGCGGCGGAGGAGCCGAGCCCCGCGGAAGAGCCGAGCCCCGCGGCCGAGCCCAGCCCCGCGGCAGAGCCCAGCCCCGCGACGGCCGAGAGCGTTTCCCGGAAGCCGCCCGCCGAGCCCCAGGAGGATGCAGGAGACCACGCAGCATTTCCCAGCAAGGCAGAGGAGGAAGAGCTGGACTCAGGAAAAGAGAAGCTGGTGGTGGGAGAGCCGGCAAGTACAGCAGCTACACCAGCCCCAGTGACAAGTACAGCAGCATCAACTGAGAGTTCTGAAGGTTTTGAATGGCCTTTGGGTGTCCTTGGGACCTGCCTGCTGATTGTGATGGGGATCAGCATGCTGGCACACACACAGGCTGTGTTCTACCCACAACCGTTTTGTCTGATCTCAAAAGTTAAGCAGAGTCAGGTTTGGGTCTTGTCTGGGGTTAGACGACAATATAGGGGGACCAAGAGGTTTTCCCCAAGGCTGGAGAGTCATGAGTGGCAGGGTGTGTGGGACACTATGGGCAAGTATCTAGTCCACTGGGCCCCTCCAGTGCTTTGGAAGCATCGGAGATGGAAGGCAGCTGTATGGAGTCCCCAGCAACAAGCTGCAGAAACTGCTTAAGGGGACAGTGAATTATTTTAAGCCTGGTGGGCCCATGGCACTTCAGGCCATCAGAGCAGAGATGCAACACAGAGATGGCCTCATGATCAAGGGGTGGACCTAGCAATGGACACTATTGCCCAAGTTATTCACGAGTGTGAACACTGCACACAGTCTCTCCTGCTCTGGAAGACTGTTACAAGAGATGGAGCCTGACATCATGGACCAGATGGACTCAGCAGCTTTATAGGGACTGGTCCATGCACTGAGATAAGAGTGATGGTATATTGAAAATGTGGGATCTGAGCATGACGTGAATGGTATGGATGGATAATGTCATGGGTTCAGCAGTAGCAGTCATTTTTCCCCTTCTTGGTAGCTGGTGCAGTGCAATGTTTTGACTTTCAGCTCGGGAACAGAGCTATAACAAGCGATGTTTTGGTTTGGCCAAGGACTTTGTGAGCCTCATGCTCTGCCAGGGAGGAGGGGAAGCCAGGAGGAAGCAGAGACAGGACACCTGACCCAAACTAGCCAAAGAGGTATTCCATACCACAGCACGTCATGCCCAGGAGGTAACTGGGAGCCGGAAGGGCTGAGAGACGGCAGGGTTGGAGGAGGTATCGGTCAGAGCTTGGTCGGGCTGGGGGTGCGAGTTATCGGTTGGCTGGTGGTGAGATGATGTATTCTCTTCCCTTGTTATTTCCTTTATCATTATTATCATTGGTGGTAGCAGTAGTGATTTGTGTTATACCTTAGTTACTAAACTGTTCTTATCTCAACCCGTGGGAGTTGCATTCTTTTCGATTCTCCTCTCCGTCCCTCCGAGAGCAGGGGGAGGGCAAGAAAAGGGGGGGGGAAGTGAGCGAACGAGTTACCTGACTGGGTTTAAACCACGACAGAGTTCTAGAAGTTTTGTGCCTTAACACAGATTTCTGATAACATGCTGAAGCAGTTCATTATCAGAATCATGCAAAAACAAAAACTTGATCAGAAGAGCTATTTTTAAGTTAATCAAATAAATGCTGCTTTCTAATTACCTAAAAAGACACATTAACATCCACAGAATGGCTCTGTAAACTAATTATATACACTTGCAGTATTCAGCTTCACTTTACTACTTCCATTAAAACTTGCCAATATTGATACTCCACTTTTACCACTTAAATAATCTACAAAAGTTATGTTATTTTCTCCAGTTTACCAGGAATTATTTTTTTATGCTTTATTTAATATATTTAATGTATTAAATGTATTTATAATATAAATTTATAATGTAAATATATATGATGTAAAATATATAATATAAATTTATAATGTAAATTTAATACAAGAAGAGAACTAAAGACTATTACTATCTCCAAGATAAGTTTAAGCAGTGGATAATACATGCTTCAAGAAAGGCCAAATTCAAGTTTTTTAAACCATTCTAAGTAGCTCTTCTTTGGCTAAATAGATGGATAATACTGTTATTGGAGTTACTGAGTCAGCAATCCAAGAAATAGAGATTCTCCCAAATGCTTCACATGAATACAAAGGTTCCTGTGAAATTTTATACAGGGACATAACACAAAAGTGCAGACCTCACTGCACAGGAGGAACTCTACTGATCATTCTTTTTATGTAAGGACTTGAAACCACCTCCTCCCAATTGCACTACCTGAATCAAGTATTGGAAGTGCTTTGAACAAACAAAAATCCTTTTTAAACATTTATTGCCTATGGTATTTGCATTCGTAGCATCATTAACAAATCAGTTTAGAAGAGGCATGTTGATGGTAACTGTTCTATGGACAGCTCTCTCTATCTTTTGTCTCAAATGACTTTCCAACTCATCTTTTCTCCTTGAAGCTAGTCTCTAATTTATACACCACAAGTGTGTTAAAAAGCAGGTTCATAAATTACTGGAATTTAGGGAAAGAAAGTATCAGTCATTCAAAAGTAATTATCAAGATTTGATCTTAGCTCATAAGAAACTTTGAGCATATTGACTCCATAATTAGATACACTTTAGAATAGTCTTTGAACTTTTGCTAGAAGCATGACAGACAAATCTCCAGAATATGCCTTTCTAGCGGTGTTTTGGTCTGTTCAGCTTATTAGCCACTGCATGCAATTACGCTATTTGATTTTCAGAGTGTAGCTGAAGGCTAAGTAAAAAGATTTCACTGTTTCCCTTTTGGCCTGTAACCAGTGAGGAAGACCACAATATATACATAAGCAAGGACAAAAATCTAGACAATAATTCCTTTTGCAGCAAGGAAGTTATATAAATTCTTTTTTTTTTTTATTTTTTGAGAAATGCAATAACCTCTGGCTTATTATGTATCTGCACTGAACTATATAATTACACTGCATACAAGGGACTAAAACAGACCATAAAAACAGGCAAAGTGCTGAAAAGCAGCAAAATCCAAGTCCCTCAAGCTACTCCAAAGCCATATGCATGAGTATACAAGATCATATTTCTGAGAATTAAGACAAGAATTTTAACTTATTCAATAGCAGTTATTAATACTGACTGCTTTCCAAGCCAGAAAGCAGCACAGATACTAGTCCCTTAAGCTTTTAATGAAACTATTGCTTCCCTCTCCGACTATGGCATGCGATTGCAGAATTTGCCATTGGTGCTCCCAATCAACATAGGCTTCAGCATCAATCTGCAGTAAAAAAAAAAGCCAGTAGAATATCCAGCATCTAATAAATATTTCAAAGTCTTTTTAATGAGCTGTGCAGATTTCTACCTACCCCTCCTCATAACAAGCTAAAGCAGAAAAACATCTAATTGTTCAAAACTGCTGAAACCACAACTTGGAAGAAAAACAACTGTTGTATAACTGACTGGTCAGTTATTGGCACTTACTAATCCCATCTAATGCTTTTGTCCTAGTAATAGGAGATCTGTCTACACAAATGAGAACTGCCTCTTTCCACAGAATTGTATTGGCTCATAAATGCCACATTCAAGGTGGAACTTTTGCAGGGGGCGAAATTAAGAACAACTTAATGCAAACCTTCAACTTCAGAAGCATGCAAATTACGTAGAAAGAAGTAACTTTGTTCACCCTTTTCTCCAGACACATATTCAGAAGTCCAAACAAACACGAACAAGCCATTAAAAATAAATTAAAAAAAAAAATTAAGAACACTTGGCCATGGATGCCTATTTAAAAAAAAAAAAAAAGTGACTTAAGCAATACAATTTTATATACCACCTTGCTTTTTGTATCTTTCCTAAATTTTCTCTCCTGACCTTTCATTTACATATTTAAAATGCCTTTCAACCTCATAAAAATATTTGGACTTGAGAACCCTGTATTTGAGTCCACTATGTTTTGCTTAACCTTGAACACAGTATTTGACCTGCAAGTCCTGGTATTTTAACAGCTAAGAACATGCTCTGTCAGAACAAGCATACAGGCATTGTTTGTTGTATTGTGAACTGTTCAGGGAATTTCTTGTTTATGAATTTTAACGCTGCTGCAAGATCCATTCATTCAGTATTTTTACTTATGTGGCCTGCATGACTCACCAATTCCACAGTACCAATCAACATTCAACGCATAACCTTCACAACTAACACTACTTTCCACATATTATTCCAAATGGAGGCACAATACCACAATACAGACCACTGAAGAACTGTTCTCTCAGATATTTAGAAAGCATAGCTCATCTTCTGTATGCCCCCTTATTGAAATAAAAATCAACTAACTGAATTGGAAGACAAGAGCTAGGCTTGAAAAACATGGATTTAGTACAGATAAAATTTACACAAGAGGGAAAACTGAGGTTAGAATAAGGGAAGGCGAGAAGAAAAGGAGCAGTGCTAGAAGTAAAAATTTTCTTCACACCACTGAATTATCTGCTTGTCACTCATAATCTGTTCCTAACTTTGTACTTGTCATACTTGGTAATGCATGTGCTAAAGACTACAAACTCAGACAAAACTGGATACAGTCACAGAAGAGATAAAATTTACTTTCAGTTTAGGGAATGGATTATGTTAGTAAGACTTTCTGCAACAACAAAAAAATAAATTCAATGTTTTATTCTGATTATTCTTTACTTTTTGCAGCAAACACCAATTAGACACAACACAAGTCAGCATAATAACAGCCCAAACAGAAACAAATAAGGAAGTACTTTTTTTATAAGCATAAAAAGTCAAACACGAGTCACATACTTAGACAACCTCTTAAAGACACAAGTTTCAGAGCACAAAAGCCAACTAAATGAAAAAAAAAAAAAACAAAAGAAAACCCACACACAAAAAAAAAACAAAACAAAAAAAAACAACACCCCAACACCTGACATCAATATCTCAAAGATATTACTACATTTAGCAGTTCCAGATTCATGATCAGTTTTATCCTGAAGGCTATTTACGTCTCAGATGAAAATGCCTTCAGAAGGAGTTGTATCTCTGCCTTCACAGAAAGGACAGATTTGAGGATTCTGGGATGTTCATTCAGTCAGCCAGACACTGATTCCACCACAATGCCACCACAAAGGATTAGAGGCAAGTTTGTTACTCCACAGTGTTCCTATAAACTACTTTAAAAAAAGATGCACAAACTATTAATATTTTGAACAATTCTTTGCTACATATCCTCAGGCTCTTCCGGATCAGACTGGGGAAATTAATTTACTATCCTGAAATGCTGTTTTGCCATTAGACTAATATTTCTTTTTGTACCCACTACTAAAAAGTAGCTGCTGTGTTCTTCTGAAAGTTACTGTAGCACATTCATATCATTTTAGTTAAGAGTACCTCTAACAAGAATGTGGAATGTGCTAAGAGCAGGTTACAGTAGCAAGCAACTGTTTTGTTTCACAAAAGAAATGCTTAGGTCATCATGTCAAAATATGCAAAATGTATATATACAAAATCAAACACCAAGTTTAAGTAGAACTAAGCAGTAAAACAAAACTGTCCTTAGCAGTCACACTCCAGCACACTCAACAGTAACGAAGAGGAAAATAACAGAAAGCCTAGAATACTCCAGATAAGGAAATATCCACATGCTACAAGTACTGGTATAACACTGAAATATGCAAGGGGCTTCACAGGGGATAAAACAGTCCAGCATCTCCAAGGTCACTGCTAACCCTGATACTCCCCTGGACAAACTACTGAGGCATGCTTACACTGCACTTTAATCCACGCAGGCTTTCAGGTTTCCTTTCACTTAAAAGCAAGAAAACTCTTTCCCAAGTATAGGCAATTCAGATATCAATGTAGTCATAATAATGACATGTACTTCAGCATTCAATCTAATGAGACAAGGTGAATTTCAATGTATCCAAGGTATGGTTAATCTGTAACTCAAGTAATCTACCCATATACAATGACCATTTCAGTGTTTGTTTTCATTTAGTTTGTCCCTAAAGGAGTAGAAGTCATTCCATTCAGAAGAACTGAGGTTACCCCTCAAAAGTTAAAAGCTATTTATTTCTACATTCCAACAATTCTTCCTGCAGCATTAAGACTCTCTTTTTTTCACAACACTATACCCTTGACTGCTAACTCTATTTCACAAAGGTATTTCTAAACAATGTTCTCATGTTAGCCTCTCCAATTAGTTTTGCAGTAGTCATGTTTTATGCATTTCTCAAGACATGCATTCAAGCATCATTATATCCCAAAGAACTGCAAGACTGTAGTATTACAATTGAGTGAAGGATGTACAGATGCTGTTTTGTAGCCGAGTTACTAAAGGTCCTCTAGGGATTTGATTTTGTTTCAGCTGTTTGTTTTATTATGTAAAAACCAAGACTTCACACCATAAATGCTTACTATGCAAGCACAGCACATATATACTAAAAAACACGTCTTACAATCTACCATCACTCCAACTCCCCAGTCCTCTCAGCAAGAAAAACCCGGTGCTTCCAGTTTGGCTGACTGTCCTATCTTCTCAAAGTATTAGGCTAGCTGATTTACCAAACATCACTGTAAGCAGCAGTATGTTTAGGAAGCAAC